ACCGTGGACGACGTGGACCAGCTCACCCGCAAGAGCGACTGGATCCGTACATTCGGAGTGAATGCGCGGATCCGAAAACGCACCTGGGGTGTCGTCGTTCGTGGCGTGGACACCAATCTCGATCCAAAGCAGGCATCCTTCAAAACGACACTCACCTCACAAAACGCCTCCATCTTCACCCATCTGTCCTTCAACATCACGTATATGGGATGGCTAATGAGCGAATCAAAGATTCGGGAACAGAAGCTCACCAAGGCGCACCTCGTCGTCATGTTCGACGACGAACGGACTGCCAATCTCGCCATCATCCGTGGACTCGTGATCCACGGAGAGCAGCACGCGTGCGAGATCTACAATAAGGCGGCTAACCTTCAGCAATGCTACAAATGCCAGATGTATAAGCATATTGCACGACACTGTCAGCGGCAGGCCTCCTGCGCAACGCCGTGTGGAAAAAAAAAACCTCGCGCACCTATGAAAACGCACCCCCCCAGGTAAAAAGTACTGCGGGAACGAATCTAAGTTATAAAAGACTCYGTAAGCAACCCATTTACCAACTTTCAGCGCCTYAATCAACGTGGTTGAGCGATGGCGCCGAAAAGTCGGAAAAAAGGGGAAGCGTGGCTGATGCTACACTTCGAGGATGACCCTAATATATATATATATGCAGCCTCCGCCATTAAAGAACTTGAGGTATTGAAGAAGTGTTATAAGAATGAGCAGAATGGCATGCCAATCGACATCGCTAATGATGTAGTGGTGTCGTTCTTGTATCTAGCTCATCGGGTGAAGGATGCGCTGATAAATGAGTAGCTTGTATAGCGACTTACACGCGTGGAATTGAGCATGGAAAAGACGTAGAAAGAGGTTTTATAGGTCTCTTGGGAGATCAACACAATAAAGAGCAATACTAACCACCTTATTGAGGTAATCTGTCATATACTCCTAAGCTCACGTGTTAACGGCAATAAGTCGTATAGTCATATAATGGCAAGCTCTGAATTGTATGTGTAGGGCTAGGGACGATAAGTGCCCTCATATCCACTAACTATTTCTAGCGTGGGAGTCTCTAGTGGGAATAGCTCTCTATTAATACTCTTCCCATCTTAGAAAGACCTTGAGATCTACCTTGAGCGTACCGACGCCGACACCATTAATCCCCTGAGACGGTCCCCGGATAAGGTCATTCACCGGGCTAATCTAGCGATTTAATTGATACAGGATGCCATAATCGCGCACCGACACCTCTTTATTGCGAGAGTGCAGCCCAGTGGGGATATTATCCTCCTTGCAGCCACCGTAGACGACGTAGACCAGCTCACGCATAAGAATAGCTAGATTCGCACCTTTAGAGCAGAGACTCGTATCCGGAAACGCACCTAGGGTATAGTGGTATACAGCGTCAGCACCAATATCAACCCAAAATAGGAGATTTTTAAAACGACACTCGCCTCTCAGAATGCCGCTGTATTTATGTATATCCTAGCCCCATTCAACACCACATATATAGGCTGGCTACTTAGTGAATAGAAGATCCAGGAATTGAAGCTTCTACGAGCCCACCTCATCGTGATATTCAATGATGAGCGGGTGGCCAATCTCGCGATTAAGCGAGGCCTTATTATCAATGGTTTCCAGCACATAGTCTCTATTTATAATAAGACCGCCAACCTCTAGCAATGCTATAAATACTAGATATATAAGTATATCGCACGACATTGTTAGTGCTAGATCTGCTGTGCCTACTGCGTGGGATTTTATGATATAGGGGACTGCCCTATACCTAGAGAGAAGGAATACGCTAAGTGCGTTAACTGTGCCGTAGAAAACGCATGTATTAAAAACCTTACAAAGAAGCTAGATAAGAAGCATTTCTCCTATGTTTATGAGTGCCTAATTAGAGCCTTGTATCTAGTAGAGGCTCATTAACAGCGCATCTATGGCCTCTAATATCACCCTAAGGTCGCGAGACCAGGCAATCATACTCTTGGAGTTGTCTCCTACAATGATCCTATACCTGTAGAAGCAACAGCTCTAGCAGCTAACGAATATAGCCCTCACACTAAGACCTAGGCAGAGCCTCCTACACGACGTCATTTAGCCCTGTTACGGAGCAAGAGCATAACAGCGCATAAGTGGACTGCCGATCCTAGAAGCCCAAATCAGCCAAATACTCAGGCCTAAAAGAAGATGATATGGATATAGGACAATAAGGGGAATAAAGTGATAAATATTAATCTAGAACTAGAGGCTGCAGTCAATCCTCACTTAATAATTGTATATGAAGACTGTATATGGAAGAACCGCTCCAAAGTGCTAAAGACACCAACTAGCCTTATCCTTCAGTTGGATATCGCCTCACTCTAAGAAGCGCAAGTAAAATCAATCCGCCCTATCTGTCGTGCATGGAGCGCGTATACTATCTTAGATAATAAGTCTGATAACAAGCTTAGCCGTTCAGACTACAATATCACCAAGCCTACTGGGAAACCTAGTGAAGAGAATAATACAATAATAACTATAAACCTTAAAGACTCCATATGGGCCAATTCTCAATGAGGTACTATGCCTATTAATTCCAAATCTTACAGGCAAACTGCTGGAAATCGCGAGATGAGGTCTAGATGTATCTCTTTGGTGAGAAAGACATGCAAGAATATAATATCCTAGCCATTTAAGAACCCTATATTAATAAATAGATAGACCCTCTAACCACATACACACTAGCGCTCTAAAACTGTTTCTATATCCTGTTGCAGCCCACACCATAAAAAGACTATGATATCTGTTCACAAGTGTGTCTCTATGTTAATAAATGTATCGACCCTACCATGTAGGAAGTATGGTTTTATAATAGGAATCTAAGCATGCTGATCCTTTAGACTGCTAATTATGGTACTATCTATATCTATAACATTTACAATCTGGGAGTATCTAGCGGCCAGGGATCTGAAATTGGGACTCTCTATAAGGTGATGATGCCTGGTGCGCAATATATTATATTAGGAGACTTCAACCTACACCATCCACTGTGGGCAGGTACATAGTATCAATACGTAGATGACAAAGCGATAGAACTCATCGATCTTATGGACGAGCATGAACTAGACTAGTTGCTTCCCTGTGGCATGATAATGTATGAGAAAAAGGAAGCTAAAACAACTATTGACCTTATCTGGGTGTCTAACACTCTATCTAACTGATTGATCAGCTGCGCCGACAAACAGGAGTAGTGGTATGGCGTAGATCATGTCCTTATTCTTACCTAATTTGATCTGACTCTGGTTAGCGTACCCCCTATCATCTATAAGGACTAGGGATCGTCAGATTAGGAGCTCTTTCTTAGACTAATAAAGATATATAACTAGCATCCCTATCAACTAGCAGATATAGGAGATATTAATAAGACAGTACGCTATCTAGTTAAGGTGATTTATGATATAGTGGAACAGGCCACTCCTATTAAATAGATTACTTCTTATTCTCGTGCTGGATACATACCAGAGATAGTAGAGCTTAAATACTAGGTCTTATAGTGCTAGAGACATGCATATCAAACTAATATAGACCAGATGTGGGAGGAGTATAAAGAGGCAAAGAAGGAGCTGAAAAGATATACTAATAAGCTTATATAAGAGCTTCACTATTAATGAATTAAGGAAGCGACTGAGTCATTAGATAGCTTCTGGAAAATTATATGCTGGGTTCGTAATTAAGGTGTACTATGTGCCTCTTTTACACTAATATTAATATATAATAATATCAAGTATGCTGCTCTAAGAGAAAAAGCAGCACTTTTCTAAAAAGTCCTGTATCTAGAGCCTCTAGAGATAGATCTTTCGGACATCAGCCACTACTGATATCTAAAACCTTATGAGACGCCTCCCATTACGTTAGATGAAGTGCGAGTAGCGATTTATAATGTGAAGCCCAATAAGGCTCCTAGCCTGGATAAGATCCTAAATCTAATTCTTTAATAACTACTTCCACTCATTGAGTATTATCTACTTAACTTATTCAATGTCTGCTTATGGTGCTACTACCACCTAGAGCACTTCTAATAGTCTATCACGGTGGTGATCTGTAAGCCTGGGAAGTCCAACTACACTGATCTAAAATTATATCGACCTATAGCATTACTGAGCACTATAGGGAAAGCACTTAAATCTATAATTATATAATGGCTAAGCTATCTAATGAAGCGTTATTATCTGTTACTAAAGTATCATATAAGGGAATGACGAGGTCGCTCCTGTGAGCTCGTAATCTATCTCCTACTAGAAGAAATTTATAATATCTAGAGAGATAGTCTCTGAGTGGCCTCTAGTCTCGCAATAGACGTTACTGGTGTCTTTGACAATGTGAACCATATAAGATTCATCTATAATTTACAGAAGCGCCAGATCCCTGACGTGCTAGTGGGCTAGATTATAAGCTTTCTCAGCAGCCACTGTACGTCAATTATACTATTAGAGGGTAATATGGGGGAATACACAGTCAATACGGGTATCCCCCAGGGGTTCCCACTGTCACTAATCCTGTTCCTATTCTTTAATACGGATCTCATCGAGCAGATACGAGCCGAGTGCCCAGAGGTGCTCGTTATTGGATATGTAGACGACATCTTTCTGATGGCACTCGGGAGTTCTGCGGCAGCTAATTGCCGCACATTTACCTAGGCGCACTAGGTCGCAGAGCGCTGGGAGAGAACACACGTCTCTAAGTTCAACCCAGCTAAATATCAGTTGGCGCACTTCTGGCGGAAGCATTAATTGGTGTTAAAGCTGAGGGGTCGACTTGACGTGCCCCTGGTTATTAAAGGATGGGAAATCAAAGTCAAGGACTTTATTAAGTATCTTAGAGTCCTTCTAGATACCTACCTGATAGGGGAGGCCCATGTATAAGAGATAAGAAAGAAGGCTATAAAATTAGTGGTAGAATTGGCTTCAATAGTAGGCTTAATCTAGGGAACACTAACGATATATCTTTAGAAGATGTACACCGCCGTGCTCTAACCGCAGATCATGTACGCGTGTTCTACGTAGTATATCTATGGTGGGAGAGGCTTTATGAAGTTATAGTAAGAGATAGAGAAAGTAATATAGTCTATTCACACCTAAGTGCTGCACTGGATATCTAGCACATTTAAGCATACATTATGATAGGCTCTGGAGATCTATCTCTATATCTTACTATCTAAGTTAACGCTCGTGAGACTGTCAAAGAAGGCATGCCTTTAATTAATAATCTTACTACTATAACCAATACTGTAGACTACATAGAATTAGGCTTCCTATAATAACCCTTTTACATCCCTACTATACTGACTGGAGACATTCATAGAACAGAAACTTAGACGTGGTGTATGCTAGTATATCAAGATGATCTATCTGTTTATAGTATCT